CTTTCTCTCCCTCAGATGCACCACCAAGTGCTAGTAATTTTAATGGATGATTTTTAAGGAGTTGTTGTAGTTATCTTTCTATTTCTTTATATATTTGCCTATTGTTTCTTTATTATTCTATATATCTCAGGCAAAACACCTTGGAGGTCAGGCAGAAATAGAAATGCTTTATTTCTAAGTATGAAAATAAGTATAAGAGCCTATGAAACAAACAAGCAAAAAAAGAAAGCTTTATAGACTTGCACACATACACACAGATACACACACACACACACACACACACACACACACACACACACACACACACACACACACTGCTTACATGCTTACGTGGCATTTGCACCTGATGCGGCCAGGTACAAGATAGAGTGTTGGAGACAAAAGTAAATTGCAGAATATGTCTCAACTATAGGCATTCTAATTAAAATATTTTGTTCTAAATATCATGCTGCCCAAATGATATGTCTGCTTAATGGACTGACCAGTAGATAGCAGTTTGCCACCCTGCTAAAGTAGTTGAGAAAATCTCAACCATCATGATAGATAAAAGGTCAGAGATAAGAAAATGATCAAAATTTTAATTAAATTAAACATACTCTATACATACAAAACCTTTTGCTCCTAAGTTGGTTTTACTAACTGCCAAAATTTTACTCCATGCAGTTATAGAAAAATCTAGTAGTAACACTTGATGCAATGAATAATGCACAAACTCAGATGCAAATTCTGTCAAGAGAATTTTGATCTCTACTTAGAGTAGTGTCTTCTAAGAGGCATTCTATAAACGTTTGATTGATCAAATTCAAGTAAAATGGATTTTGAACAATTGCCAGAAGAAGAGCTTTAAATTGCTCTTACAACAAAAACAGTGGTAACAAAAGTAGATAGGTCTCAAAAGAACTACACTGAGTAGTCAACTACAAAGTGACACTTTTATTACAGTCATTAAAAAATGAAGCTGTAAAAAAAAGCTCTTACTCCTCACATACTTTAATAGACTTGAACTTTAAAATAAAATAGAACAAAATATAAACTAAAAAGACTGTACAAACCTGAGAATATGCCAAAAAACATATACATAATAGCAAGAAGGCTAGTTTCAGCAGTAAGCCAAAATGCCAGAAGCAATTTCCTAAGAGAGAAAATATTTAATTTACTAAATATAAATTTACATAAGAAAACATATTAAATACTCTCTACTTAACATAATAATGTCTTACATAATTCCTAAAATAATTTATGGCTGCTTATAGGATACACGAAATATATCTAAGTAGTATAAATTACAAGTAGGACAAAAAGGAAAAAAAGGTGGAGGGTACTTGCTAGGAATGAGGCTTTAACATATACCTGATACTTTATATACCTGCTGTTCATCCACTATAAATATATTTGAAACTACCTCCTGGATTCAATTATACCTATTCATTCGTGAAAGTTACAAAAACATATGGAACAGTATGTTCAATGCAATTCTAACAAAAACTCATGTTGAATATAACTTTGGTAAACAGCTTAAACATTAAAGAGACAGTTTAAGAACTCCCTAATGGACTAGGATTTAACTAGGATTTAAAAATAAGATATATTTTAACATACACATATTTTAAGTTATGTGTTCAGTTTATATATGTTGATTATTCATTTGATTAATATGCTGGGTTTGTGTCAAGGAATTAAACTACAGAGGCTATCCAAAGACACTAATGGACTTTATTAAATAAAGGCTGGAAACTAAACTCTTTCCTGAAAAATTATTTGAGATTATAATGGAAATCAACAGAAAATATTTTTGACATACGATATTTGGTTGAGCTAATTATTAAAAATATTGTTTTTCCAGAAAGGAGAAGCTTTCATTTTAATGATATGATCTTGACGGGAAAGCATTAAAATGAATGACTGTGGTCTCACTTTGAACATTATCATATCAGTAACTGTCTGTGAAATTTGAAGATGATAATCTTTTGGACAGTTAGGTTTCCTTATAGGTTGATAATAACTGCTTAAAGGTTTATCTAGAAGATAAATTATATTAGTACTTTTTAAACTTGTTTGACATAAAAAGCCTTTCTACAAATGAATGTTTATTCAATATATATAAAGATCAATATATGTAAAGATCAAATAAAGCAGAGTTGTTAGGGTTGAAGCAGGATGGAGGGGACTATTTTGCTTTCCCTTCTCTCTTCTAGATCTCTCTAGCTGGTTATGTACATGGCAGTTTGAAAACTGTTGCATTAATAGGTAAAATGGCTTCGAAAAATTTAAATTTAAAAAAGAGAAAACACACACAATATAGATACAAACTATTATTCTGCACTGTTATGTTACTTGAACTACTTAGCTGTAACATTTCAGAAAACAGTTGAAGAATAAACTTTTAAAATATCAATACTACACATGAATTTAAACTGTCTACATGTCTCAATAAAAATAATAGCCTTTAGGAACTAAAAAGAAATTTAGAACATTGAAAGAATATATTTATTAACATGAGTAAGAGAGTATATTTACCGTTTGCTTTTTTTTGGATTATTTGAGGCCATAGTGCTAAAGTAACATATATGACCATGAACCATACAGTGACCAAGGGGACAAAGTAATAGAATTGATAAGGCCGATCCATCACTATACATAACACCACTACCAGGAAATTGAGACGAAATAAGACCTATTCAAAAGAAGAAAATGGATTTCATTCCAGATATGCATGAAGAGCAAAGACAGATTCTTTCTGACAGAGTGTAAATGTTTATTTAAGACTAAAATAATAACTGTATAAGTATCTTTTACTAATTCCTAAAATTATATTTGTTTTACAGTCATTGTAAAGAGTTTGAATATAAAATATTTAAGCATCATTATGTTAACTTAATCCCAGCAAAGCACCAGCCTGAGCTGTCCTCTGGCTAAAACTGCCATCTTGTTAAATGTAGGAAAAGAATCATCCACCTCCTTCCTAGGCCTACAGTTTATAAGTGGAGATTATATTACCTGAAGAAAAGGTGTCCATTTCATCTCTACTTGATGTTGATTTACCCCATTTGGGATTAAACCGAGAACTGTCATAGATACAAAATGATATTACTCAAATTTAAAGGATTGTTAGGACTTTTCTAACGGTCACTTCAGACAGTGTAGTGCATTCAAAGAACAAAGAATTTGAGCAGATTGATATTAGAGTTGCATCACTTACTGTGTGACCATAGACAAATTATTTAACCTCTCTGAACCTCAGTGTCCTTGTCTGTACACATAAAGGTCACAACTCAGAGGTGTAATGAGGGGTAAATAAAATAATGTTCAGAAATTGCCTAGCATAAGGTAGAAACTTAATAAATATTAATTCTCTCCTTAGAGAAAACATAGCATGTTATAAAATCCCATTAACTGTACATTTCTACAAAACTGAAGTGAATCAGCAATGTTGTCCCTTGAGTACCAGTGCTTTTATTATATATTCATCTAAATTATATTTTCTATTCCCTCAGTAGTAAATTATTTATCTCAAATTATTAACCATAGAACACAGAAATAACTCAACTTTAAAATGCTATCTTGTAAATTCGAATTATTCATGGCCTTAAAATGACTATATATATATATATTTTTTTTTTCCCTTAACAATTAGGCACAAAAGCATGTTGAAATGAGAAAAAGATAATAACTGAATATATTCCTACCTGACATACTCTGTGGATTCCAAAGTCTCCTTTGATCCAAAAGTATGAGAAATGCCCATACCCTGTCTGAAATAGATATGCAGCAACCAGAACCCGAATGTGCATGTACACAGGCAAAAACTGTTGACAAAAATAGGTAGAATATGTGTTGGCACTAACAATACCTTGAATTATTATAACCAGTACATTTAACCAAGATAATGGATCGTGTTACTATTTGACATTAGCTCAATGAAAAGATTTATTCTTAAAAGTTAGGTATTATAGCAGAGGTTAAAAAAAATGTGGACTTTGAAATCAGATAGGCCTAGATTCAAATTCTGTATCTGCCACTTACTAGCTATATGACTTTGAGTTTTCTAAACTGAGAAATGAGGCTATTCTGCTTAAAGAGCACTTATGAGAAATGCATGAGTCAATAAATAGAAAGCACTTTGTACATTTTGTTTAGTTAGGATTAAATATATCTATAATAATTAATCACCATATATACTGAATACAAGTTCACTCTGGATTTCACATTTTCCCAATGAGAATCAAAAACAAAACAAAACTCCTAAATTTTTGGCCCCTATAAGTAGACTTTAGACTTCTAAATAAAATTGTTACATGACTACTTACAATACTGAATAGTTTAGCAAAAAATACATATTTAAAAAGCTTATGCAAACATAACTTAGAAATATTATTTCCCTCCCTTATTTTATTTTACATTTCTACATAAATGTTTCATTATGATCAAGACCCTGAGAATTACTTACCATGGTTTTTCAGAGCATCATGTATTCACTTCTAAGTTGAATGAAATATAACATTTCCTATCTATATTTTTGGGGGAGTCACTGGAAATATTATCTCATTTGTAAGTCTTAATTCTCATGACCTTAGAACAATGCCATTTCACTTGCCCCCAACCGTCTTTTAGGTGTACATTCACGATCTCCATAACATAATGAGTGCACTGTTTTTAAAAATGATCTTTAAAAGGCTTGTTCAGGCCATTCTTTTAAGGATAATTACTAAACCAATGTAAAGTTTGTTTTTTTGGGGGGTGGGGGTGCTTCTATTTTATAGACTCATCTGATCATCTTTGTAATTATCCAGCATTAACAGTGTTTATAGCTACTTTAGTTAATGTGTCTTCCCCAAGTGAGGCTTTATAGGATAAAATAAAATTAAGCAGACAACCTAAATAGACTTTATAAGGCCTTGAATGTATACACCTTTTATATATATCCTTGAATGTATCCTTGAACACGGTTTTCTTTTCTTAGGGATAATATTTTTTTTTCTGGAAGGAAAAAGCTCTGAATTTATAATAGTTCATAAATTCTTTAACACAGCCTCCACTCTAGCCAGTTAGATTCTGTCTCCTAAACTGGTTCTCCTGTGCTTCTCCTGTGCCTTTTCCCTTGTTGACCTGTATATTCTACCCAGGAATGTTCTCCCAACCACAGTTTGCTTATTCAAATCCTATTCTTTTTTAGAGCCCTGTTCGAAATTTCCAATCTTTACTCTCAAATGAGAGTCATTTCTCCTTCCTCTGAGTTAGTATAGTACCAATAATTTTTATATCTAAGAGTTTTTATTTATTGTTCTTCATCATTAGTTTTTAAGTGTCATCTCAACATTAGACAGAAATTTTCAATGAAGGTGTAACGTATTAGAATGTGATGAAGGTGAGAAATGTAATAGTGAAATAATCTCAGGATTTACCTAATCTAAATCTGTACCCTTACTTCATTCTTGAATGTATTCTAAAATATTCCCTTAAAGTATTTATTTGAGCACTAATAGTAACAGAAAACGTACAAATTCCCAAGGCAATCTGTTCAATTTTCGGATGCTCATTAACTACTATACAGCTACTTTTCATGAAAAGTTGAAATTTAACTCAATGTAAAACTACTAACTTCAGCCCTCTAGGATAGGGCTATGCAATAGAAATAAAATTTGAGCCAGCCACATAGTAAATTTTTAATGTGACTAAAAAAGTTAAAAGAAATAAATGAAACTTACTTTAATAAATATATTTTATTTAACTCAATATATCTAAAATATTAACATTCTTTAATGAGGTATTTTATATTCTTTTCTTAACACTGTTTTTGAATTTAGTATGCATTTATCATAATCTTTCTTAATCTGGTTTGTACTTCACGTTACGTAGTACAGAATATTTCAGTTCCGACTAGCTACACTTGAAGTGCTCAATAACCACCTGCAGCTAGTAGCTACCATAATGGAGAGTCTAGTTTAATCACTTTTACATCTAATAGTTCTGCAAGTATTTAAAAACAGATGTCAAACCTAGGCAAACCATTCCCAATTACTTTAACCACTGTCCATAAAACATGCTTTCAAGTCCCTTCAAAACTGAGGCTGGGCCTACAAAGTTGAGAGTTGGTTATTATATTTAAACAGTAAATACAACTTATTTAAGTTAAATTAAACACTATCGCAATGATTTGCCAGATTCCTGCCAATGCTGGATTATTACAAATTTCATGTAATAATTCTAACTTTTTATTTTAAGATATTTTAAATCAACAGAAAAGGTGCAATATAATACAATGGACATCTATATATATTAGGTTGAACCATTTAAAAGTATGTTGCATACCACATGATATCATTCCTAAATATTTTAGCAAGTATCTCCTAAGAAGAAAAAATAGTTTTGTATCTAACTATATTATCACTCTCATACTCAAGAAATTTTAAATGAATTTAACAGTATTTACTGTACAATCCATATTCAAATTTCCCTGATTGTTCCAATAATATCCTTTATGGTTAAATCTTTTAAATTTAGAAAACTGAATCAATGATCATGCATTTAGTTGTCATTCCTCTTCAGTCTCCTTTAAACTATTTTTCTTTCTGTCTTTCATGAGTCAAGTATTACTTACAATAAAATTTTAGTATTAAAAGTATATTTGAAATTCCAACTTCATTAGAATTAATAGCTAGGTTGACTTCTGGTTCTGTTCTTTTTCTAGTCTCACAAATTTTCCCTCAAGACCTTTCATTCAAGTCCCTTCATAAAAGTCATTTACAAACTCTCACAGGAAAAAACCCACACTGGAACACAAAATCATCTGCTGTATATAATTACCTTGCTGTACTCTCCGTATTAAATTCATAGTATTTTAGCCATATTTGATATAAATTATGATTTAAAAGAATGTTTATACCAACAGTTGCAATCTGCTAGACCATCTGTATTTTAATAATTCTCTGTAATTTTTGATATAGTTTCCATTTTAGCATAAAAACATGGCACAAGTAAAGTTTGAGATATTTTACTCAAAATAAAAAAACATTGAAATTAGGTAATTAAAATAACTGTAACAGTTAAAAAGTTTTTAAAAAAGCTATTCCCTCAAATATTCAAGAATCGAGTCCCAAAATATGTTATAATCCATGCTAATAATGCTTTGCTGATGTAGATACAGGTAATTTTTAATCACAAAATCCTATAGTATAAAAGAAGAGGGATACGTTAATTAATCATAACAAATGATCTCTTAATGAAAAGTATGTCCTTCCAGAACAGAGATTTTTTAAAATTGTAATTTAGGATGTATCGGGATGTAGTCTAAGATGAATTAGAATGCTAGCTTGGCGAATGATTATAATAGAATGCCAAATGGCCTGCATCCTTTTATGATCCAAATCTTTTCTGGAATCACTGAATTGAGAAACTTAATCTGCCATTAATTCTTTCAAGTTGATTTTTTTTAAACACTAGTATCACACTTTAATATGTCAGCAATTAATTATGTCTCTAAGTGGCATTTTCTTAAAACAAAATGCTTCCTCCCCTCAAATTAATTTAATCTTTATTCACATGTCAGAGATATTTCTAGGATTCAATATGCATCTCTACTTACTCTTTAGAGAATTCACCAAATTTATTTTATAAATTCCAAACCAGACTTATAAACTAAGCCTTACTATCTTCATCTCTCTTTGACTTAGATCTCTTTTACTACCTTGGCTCTTCCGTAGCTACCTGAATTCACTAGGTCCCTTCAGCTGCAGTGTCACAGAAATTTCACTGCTCCCCAATATATATATATGTATCAGTCACATAACTTCAGTAAAATTATACTTCACTCCTCTGCCTTGGTAAAGTCACCAATAAGGTTTGAAAATAATCGAGACTTAATGAAAAATAACATTTTTAAATTGTTAGAGATATCTGAACAACCTCAATGTTATTTACCTTCTTAACTGCTATGAAAATTTCAAAATACTCTTTTCTGAGGAACACTCCTCTGTGATCTCAACTTATCACTAATTCAAACACTGTTTAAAGTCATGTGCTTTTTTATAAGCAAATAAAACAGTTCAGTAGCTCCCAAATTCTAAATGAGTTGCTTAAATTTTTAAAACATATTTTATAGAAATCAGTTGGTATCTTCACTATAAAAACTTGTGTGAAGAGTGGTTATTAGATAGCTAGGTTCTCCCTCAAAAGCTGATTTAACTGACAAGTAACTGAAATGTTACAACTCTGAATACATTTTTTCTACCCTTGCTAAATCGAAGGTGTCCCCAGACCATGAGACTCCTGTCTTTTAAGACAACAAAGGAGAAGGAAAAAATGATTTTGTCCAGATACAGAAGGCACTGGGCGAGCAATGAGAGGGTAACCCATCTCATGGAGAAGGTGAAACTTGGAAAGTATGGTGCACGCTTTCTGGTCTATGAGTAGTAGTCCATGGGTTTCTGAGTTCTCTGAACACTGGGGCAAGAAGGTTCTAAGTTTTTTAACTTTTATAAGTATAAAAACAGTTGGTTAAACTTTCTAAAATACGGGGAAGGGGTAGAATATAATCATAATTTGATTTCTTTTGATAGTGACTTGCCTGTTATAAATCCTTTGCAATTATGTCATCTATAAAGATTCTTGATAACTTTAAATTAGTTGTTCAACAGGATGACATGAAATAATACCCTTAGATTATCAGCCGTTTCTACTACATTAAAATTAAAGACAAGTAAATACAAATAAATTATTGCCTTATTATTTTTTTAAAGTTTATTTTGCTTTTAAAACGATACATTTTCAATGAGTCAGGTGGCAGGAGAACAGGAAGACAGAAAGATTGGGTTGGAAATAAGGGTTTCTTACATGGTAGAGAATATAAAACACAAAAGAGTTGGTGCCTTTAAAAAATATTAAAGTGAGATTAATTCCTGCATGTTCTGAACTTCAAAATACTTACTGTACTTGCTCCAGAGATGTGATAAATCAAAATCACAAGTTGCATCCAGCCTTTCCATTCATCTGTTTGTTCTCTATTTAATACTTTAGTCTGTGCAAAAGAACCAAGACCTATTTTAAAATTCCCCATGAAACTATTATTTAGACAGTTTATATTAAGTATGTTAAAACTGTTCTTATAGGATATAAAGCTAATGCTTTTGTGAAAAGAACCTTGGGGGGGGAAAAAGTTAAAGACTGTCATTTTATTTCTTGATAAGAGATATAATAAAACTATTTAAAATTAATATGAATTTGAAAATTAACATACTAAAAGATTTTAAATAGTATTTAAGTTGATACTTATGTTTTTATACTAAGATTACGTTTAAACTATGACATGTTTTTATAAATCTAAAAAATGGCATTTTATATTTTTCTTTAAGAAAAATCTTAGGATTTCAGTTAGACAAGCTCTTATAGTTCT